TTTTTCCTTTTTCCAAATAACTAACATCTTCTTCAGCAAGCTACAATGGAGGAGAGAGAAAACTCCAATTTTCCAGATTCAAAGCTCCTTCACCAAGCAACCATGGAGGAGAGAGAAATCTACAATTTTCGATCAACAATGCCGGAAACCTCCAAAGCTTCCAATTACAAAAACCTAATGCGCGAATTTCTGCAATTACAAAGAGAAAATCGACCACCATTAACGCAACATCCAGAGAAAACATGGAGTTTCGACCTCAATCAAACATTCAGAGAAGGTGAAGCAGAGAATTTCGTTGATGATTTCGATGAATTTAATGATGATAACATTCAAAACTCAAAAGTTCCAGAAATTCAAATACAAGGTAATAATCTAAAAAAATACTAACCTATTGTTTGTTTTTGCTTAAAATTTTGATTTAATTTTCAATAATTAATGCAGATATTGAAAATCAAGGTGTTTCAAATACATTAGAAGATGAAGATCAAGTTATTCCGAACACACTAGATGAAGAAGGACAACCAGTAGATGAAGACGAAGGTAAAATTCTATAAATGTGACATATATTAAGGCAAAAGTTACATATATTATGGCAAAAATTACATTGACTATATGTTTATTTATAAAAGCATTTATGCATGTCTCTTGGTACAAAAGTTACTAATATCATTACAAATGTTACCTTTATTAATACAGAAGTTACTTGTATTATATACCTCTGTACTAAATTATTTCTCTAATGTGCAGGTTTACACATTGTCTCTATTTAGAGACTTTGAAGAGGAATTTGGCTACTCAATAGCGACCACAGTACAAATTCTAGGGAGAACTGAAGAAAACATTATTCTTTATGAAGTATCGCTAGAAGAAAAGCCATGGTCTTCCCAACACGTAAGTTACATACATGAGAGCCAAACTATATGGTGCACTTGCAAGAATTTCGAAGCTTCTGGTTGGCTATGCTATCACTGCCTCAGAATTTTACATCTACATTCTATTACAAGAATTCCAGAGAAGTACATTAGCAAAAGATGGACAAAGCTTGCAAAAACTGAAGTATGGAATAAAATGGAAAATAAGGATCCAAAACTCCCATATACACCATGGAGACATACAATGATGAGAAAATATTATAACTTAATCTTAAAGAGTCAAGAAAATGAAAAGGCAAGAGCATTCATGGAGGAAAACTTCAAAAACTGTATGAAAATGGTGGAAGACTTACTTGCGGCCGAAGCTTTTACAGAGGAGGTTGCTGCAAGTGATGACAATTCTAATGTGGCAGAGAGTGCTCAGAGTACCAATAATACTGCTTCTTCATCAACAAGTACAACCATACCCACTATATTAGACCCTAAGAGAGCTGTAACAAAGGGAAGAAGCAAGAGAGCAAAAGGAGCACTTGAAAAAGGGAAGAAATCAAAGCAAAAAGCATTACAAATCCAAATTCAGAGTTTGGATCGAAGACACCTACTGTGCGACTTTTTTGAACTTGTAGTGAGTTTGGATGAAACAAATTGAATACTTTTTTGTAGTGATTTTATTTTTGTTTAATGCTACTATTGACTTTCATACAGAATTTTGAATTGTGATATGGAATTGCTCATGAATTATGAACATTTATATAATATTACACTGATACTTAAAAAAGTAATGCATATACTGGAAAAAGTGATGCATATACTGGCAAAAGTGATGAATTTACTAACAAAAGTGACACTAACACTTACAAAAGTGATGCATTTACAGAAAAGTAACACTAATACTCGCAAAAGTAACAATAATGCTCACAAAAGTGATGCATCTTCTCACAAAAGTGTTACTTTTTACCTCACAAAAGTATTGCATATTCACAAAAGAAATATGTCACTCACAAAAGTGATATTTATATTCACAAAAAGTGACAATAATTATCACAAAAGTGTCCGTTTTTAAAATTAATAATATGGTAATATATATGTTAAACTTCAAGTTTTCATTTAAATAAACTATATCTCTGTATGATGATATATGATACACTTATAAAATTATAATCAGAAATTAAATAAATAAAAAATAAGAACAACAAATTACCAAATATTTAATCATATATATATATATATATATATAAATAAAATTTGTACAAACATTTTGAAAATATTAACACTAGTTTAAGTGTCGATATTTATCACTAGTTTCAACTTCCAAAAGTACTTAACTAATTACAACTTCCAAAGTACTTAACTAATAACAACTTCCAAAATTAGCTAAGATTTAGAAGGAGTGTACTTCCGTGTAGCCTTTGATTTTGATTCGGAGCAGTGTCAACAGTAGGAGGAGCAGTTTCAGATTTCTTCTTTTTCTTCTCCGCTGCTGCAGCCTTCCTCCTTCCTTCAATTTCAGCAACATATGCAAGATCGCTCTTCTTCTCATTAAATTTTTCAACTTCTGCTAAGACATCAGATCTTGATTCGTTCATGTCAGACAACACGAGTTTTGCACAAATCTTAGCACGTAAAAATTTCCTCCCAGCAGCCTCACAACAAGAAAATAAAGGCGCATTAATATGTATAAAACATTAGAATAAACATAACAAATGAATTAATTCGCATCAGTTTCAAGATCACTCATTGTTCTAAGTTCATCTACAGAAAACGATGTATCACCAACAAAAATGCTCCATATGACACATCATATACACACCACAGTCATTATTATCAACCTTACTCTTCCGCCACACTAAATCAGCAATTTTAAACTTGTAAAAAGGGACTTTTTCACTCTTTGGATGATTTCTTCGTGCAAGAAAATCACCAAATTCAGAACACTGAAAAAAAAAAATATATTAAAAACAACAAAAAAAAATAAGATTAATATAGAAACATACTTTAAAATAGACAATAACATACCAGATAAAAAGTCAAATTTTGAAAATATGTAATCATGTCATGACTCCAAATGATATTATCAACATAATGAACCAATTCATTGCCATGATAAATCACAAACATCACATAATGTTTCATCAACAAGAATAGGAAAATAAACCTGAAAAAAAATAGAACAAAAGTTAGCATAAAGCACATCCATCACACAGTTAATATATATTAAAAATTAAGATATATACCAAGTCTGCACCAATAACATCACAACAAGAATTTTCATATGTAACCCATTCATCCCAAATTTCATGCAAATCCGAGACAGCATAACTAGCAGAACTATCTTCGTTCCCTCTGATACTTGCAAAAAAGCAAACTAAAAGGAAAAATAAATAATTGAAAAGAGTAAGAAAACAAATAACTCAAAGCAGAAAGTTGCTTACACTTTGCCTCGCACCAAAAAAGAATATTTTAGGACCACAAGTATCATAAAAACATGATTCATTTAGATAAATGCAGTAGCAATCAACTACTGACCAACGAACCAAATTAGGATGCACCAAAGACACCATATCCTCTCTTGGAAAGAGAAAATGCAATCCATAAGTAACAAGATTCTCACTGCAAGGTCAAACAATATTATTAATATCAAAACAAAAAGAAAAAGAAAAAAAAAAGGTTTCAAAAAATATGACAATTAAAAAAGAACTTACTTATTATTAAATAAGTGTTCCACCAGACAATAATCAAGAGCTTCTAAATATAATCGAGGTAATTTTTCACTAAAAGCACGAGAATTACTTTTCATAAATGGCGTAACAAACACTACACTCTGACCACCAATTTCACCATAGTCCAAAGAACACAAACTTTTATTCGTTCTTCTGACTGAACCACCTCTGCCACCACCATCTCCACCACCTCCACCATCTCCACCATCTTGTAGGGTAGACTTTGATGAAGTACTTGCATCAACTTTAAGTAACTCATCCACCGACTTCATTTTTATAAACTCATCAATTAAGCCATCAATAAGCTTATGATAATGCGGGTTAGATAAATTTAAGCTGGTTAAGCTGCAATATAAAAGATACAGCCCGGTTTATAAGAACGTCGCCCAATCTCATTGGAGCTCTAAGATATAGCAAAGTTTGTAGAGTTGTGATATGCTTGTTCACAGACTTGACTTGTTAGCAGATTTTAGTTTGTTTATTTGCTAATTAGAATATGATTGGACATACAAATGGCATGAAAAATGAGGCATCAACAGTATATCAGTATATTTTACTAGGCTTTTCCTACTGAATTGTGTTTGTATAGCATTCTAATTTGGACTGATTGTTTTTCACTTCTGTTTTGGTAAGGTTTAAAGCATAGAATTTCTGTTTTGCAGTACTAAATATAACAAATGGAGGCAGTATATATATATATATATATATATATATATATATATAAGAAAAAACATGTTTTTGGTCAACCAAAGAGTTTCTCAAATGTCTAGTTGTTAAATAGGCATAAATTATGTACATCTGTCCTTTCAAGATGTATTGATTTACTAGGTATAATATTAAGAACCTTTAAACATCACTAGTAGAGAATAAAATATCTCGTAATCACATTAAAGATGAATCCATTATTGGTTTGGTCAATATTACTGTAATTTTCTGTTTGTTGGTTTTTTGTTTTTCAAAACTAGACATATGTCATAATCTGTATAATGAATAAAAAATACTTAATAAAATCTTGATCACCATATATCTATAATGAATCAAAAATTGCTACAATTGGTCCCAATGGGTGTGGGAAAAGCACTTTGTTAAAATAAATTATGGGTTTGGAGAAATCTACTGCTGGTGAAGTTTATATTAGGGGAGCAAAATGTCATCCCAAATTATTTTGAGCAGAATCAGGTATATTACCACTACCAGGACCTAGTTTAAGAATTCCTTTCTTGTGCATTTAGGTTTTTATCCTTTTAGCACTATAAAAGATATGCTTGATAGGAAGGTCTCCTTTCTGAGTGGTGGAGAGAAGGTAGTATTGTCAAAATACTAATCCTCAGCTCTGCCTGAGTGTTTTACTCAATCTCTTCCAATGTCATTGGAAGGCTTACCACATCATTTTCTGCTTCTTTCAGACTCGCTTGGCGTTCTGTAAATTCATGGTGAAAAAGTCAACTTTACTGGTTCTCAATGAACCTACCAATCACTTGGATATACCTACAAAGGAGATGCTTGAGGTTAGCGATCTATTTCATGTTAAAAACTCTTATAATAGTAGTAGTCTTTGTATAAGCAGTTATTAATTCTTAATTTTATTGCTTTCCAGGAAGCTATACAAGAGTATGAAGGTACTGTCATTACAGTTTCCCATGATCGGTATCTTGTTCATCAAATAGTTAACAGAGTGATTGAGGTGAAGGACGGAAATCTACAAGATTATGTTGGGGACTACAATGTAAGTCTTGAATTGCTTCACTTTATATGATTCTGGTTCTTTTTATTTGGCTTCAATTTTGGTTTGTTTTGTGTTGTTCATTTCTTTTGTTGTGGGAAATATTCCTGGGCTCATTTTAGTCAAGTCAGAGCTATAGGATGTGTTTGACAGGTGAATTATCTACGGAATTTGCTTTCCTTTCCTAATATTATATACTGGATACTCCTACTTTTACCCAGATAACTAAATTTTTATAGACAAAAGAAACTATTCCAATTGGTCTCCTCGAAATGTCTTTTGAGTTTTTCTACCGGTTAAAATACAAATGCACTTTGCTATAGTTATACAAACTGATCACTTTGACATGTGGACCCTGTTTGGGTTTGATACACCTGATCTTTTGGTTAGTGCCAATTTCTGCTGTGCTAAATGTATAAATTTGCTGGTAATGTATTGTATTATCTTGTTGTGTATACATTTTGCATGAAAATATTGGCATTTTTCTCTGAACTCATAATCTCTCATAACCTCTCTATGGACTCTCTCAGAATAATGCGTGTTATGCTAACTATTGTTGTCTGGTGTACATCTATAGCTGCATTAGCCTGCATACATATGAAAAATAAAAAAAATTAAGAACGGTGACTAATTAACCAAAAAATTTATCCTTTTGCTCATATGAAAGAACGAGAAGGGGAAAACTGTAAAAGTGAGGGCATTGGAGCCTTTTAAATGGTGTTTTAAATATTGATGTTGTAGACCTAACTATTTCAGAGATTTGTAAGGCTTCTAAGAATATAGTTGATGGCATATGCAGTATTATTTATAGAAGAATCTCGATGCAAGACAAAGAGAATTGGATTGTGAGGCAGAGCTTGAAGAGAAGAATTCCAAAGTAAAAGCAAAATCAAAGATGTCCAAGGAAATATTAAGCTGGTGATTAACGAAGTATGTCTTAAATTATTTTCCTTTGCCAGAGACTGATATCTGTTCAACAGGCTGAGAAGGAGGCTCGGAAGAAACAGAAAATGTTGGCTTCTCAGCAGGCAAAAGCAAAAGCAAAATCTAAGGGGTTAAAGAACGCGAAGAGATGGAATTGAGATGGTATCCTCAGTATTTTTTAATGAAGATACCCTCATTGTGATCACTTTTGTTAAGGGGTATAAAAAAGGGTATCAATCTTGATCGTGTACATAGCTTTAAATTGATGGTAAATATGTTCCTAGGGGTCTTTGTTTTGTGATTCGAAAAGAAATAACTCGTGAAGCTGTAATGGGAATATATATAGCGAAGCTTTATTTCAGTTTTCTGCATACTTAGCTTAGAACTTGAGCAAACAGTCTATAGATTTTGTAAATAGCAATTTAATAGCCCTTAATTATGTGTTCTTTTTGGATCCCTCCTCACACTCAGTCAAACATGTGGGTATTGTATTCTAATACTATTGTTTATGTCGCTGAATGTCTAGATTTGAAGAGCCTGTTCAAATCAGATGATAGTAATAAACTAATGAGCTTCTTTAACAGTTTGATACTCATTTTTTTGCTGGTTATTTGAAACTTTTAAGGTTGGTTTTGGGAAGAAAGTCAAGGTTTTGACATGCTTTTATTTTTATTTTTTTTAAGAAAAATGTATTAATTGAGGAAATAAATTAATTACAGTACAAAACTAATACTTGTATTATTTTGTAAACATATTCCATATCAATACGTAGTAATTATTATATGTTTAAATAAAAAGATTTCATAAATGTTTCCAAAAGAAATTTGGACAAATATAAACCAAAAATTATTTGTGACAAAAAAATATAGCTCATGTTTTTTTTGGCTAATTTTATTTTAGAAGCTACAATTAAAGAATGCAAATATCAACATATCACACTCTTTTATTATTCCTCAGCTAATTTATTATTATAATACTTTTCAATTAATAATCTATAACTAGAGCTTTTTTTTTTTTTCTTTTTTTTTTTCTTTTTTAATATACACAAACAGAAAGATATTTATATTAATAGGCTAATGCCATGTTTGATTAATTACAAACATCACTTTGAGTTAAAACAAAATTTGGTGATGAGCAAAAGAAAGCTAGTATTGATAGGTTGTCGTACACCTGTCAAAAATAAATTCCTAACAAAACCAACTAACAATGTAGTAGAGTAAGTAGGGTCGAATCCACAGGGAGATGGTATTAATCTAACCTCTAAGAAATTGGAAAAACTAACCTATGTCACGAAATTCGGATAGAAAAGTAGTCTAAATTAAAAGAGGGATAAAATAATTAATAAAAAGACATAGGGTTATGGTTCACCATGTTTATAGCTCTAAATCTATCAAATATCAATAAAAATTCAATCAATCAATTATCTAGAGCAATTGCTAAGCCTACGGTCGGGTCTTAACGCTCTCAATTCAACATATGCAGTACGGTCACTAACATAATCAGAATTGCTAATTGTAGGGAAGTCTCTAAAAGTAAGATCTTTCGATTCAAACTCTTATTAACATGAATTAATCAAACAATTGATCAGGTTGCAAGATTAACAATAAAACTCTATCAATTAGAGAAATTAATAATCAAAATATTAAAAACATCAATCAAGATTCATAGTATAAACATGGATTCCCAAACCCTAGAAATAAAACTACTCAAACATGGAAGAAATAATAAAAACTAGATCTAAGGAATAAAACATAATTAAAAGCAAGAAAATAGAAATAAAATACCTCAATGAATTAAAATAGTATACCCAAGAATCATCCATGGAAGAATCCATGGAAATGCCATGAGAAACTAGGGTTTAAGAGAGAAAACTAAAAAGAACGTAAAATAAAAAATAATAAAAGGCGGGAAAAATAATATCCCTTGAGTATTTATATTATCCTAAAACTAATCTAAAAATAATTAAAGAAAAGAAGTAAGAAAATATAAATTACATAAGTTGAATTATTAGTGGACGATAGAAGATGACGTGGCCCGAAGACTTGTGACGATGTGAATGAAAAAGCTACTCGAGGCTTCAAGGCTGCTCGACCAGACCTGCGGGCGCAGGCTGGTGGCCGCGGCCTGGCAGCAGCACCTGCTGGTGTCGAGTGGTCGCGGGACAGGGGCGCAGCAATTATCCCGCGGGTGGCTGACAGCATCACTTAGATTCAAATGCCTATAACTTCTGTTCTATAAGGCTTCTTGGGGCGTGTGACCTATCATTGGAAATATCTTTAAGTCTAGTTTCCAACGCAATTTGAATCACATCAATCCGATTTGTAGAACTCAAGTTATGATCAAAAGAGTGGACAAAGGTCAGTCTTGCCACTTTATAAAACATCGTTTAACTTCGTTTCTAACTCAAATTCATTTCCGAAAGATGCAAATCGACCCTTGTGAATGATATATCCATTCCTCATGCATATAAATCAATCAACATCCACAAACATGGGATCTCCAATTAATAAACTCAATTCATCGGCTTCCATCCAAATATCATCCGAATCAACTCCAAACACTACGAAAGCGTCCAAATGTCTATCAAATCACCTGAAACATTAAGAAAAACACAAACGGAACGTAATAGAGTACAAAACAAACAACTTATGTATTTACGACCTAAAAAGCGACTAAAAGACCTAAAAAGCAACTATAAACTTAGCATAAACGTGCCTATAAATCCTATATAAATGTGATTTATCAAGTATTAGTGAGACAGTTCTTAGTTATAAAACCGAACCTAGGCCTACTTAAACCAATGGAAATTTTTTCTATAACTACCCTAAAGATAGGGTCATTTGTGAGATAGGGTCATTTGTGAACAACTACCCGTTTTTTTTTTTATTTGTTAAGAACTACCCAAAAGTTAAGAAAAGCTTGGATAACACTACCCATTAACGTTTTCCGTCCAAAAATACGTTAATGGGGTCCACTTTTTCACTTTTTCCACTTAATTAACTCCCCTAATTACCTTCTCTCTCTTCCTTAATTAACTTTCCCTAATTACCTTCTCCCTCTTTCCTAATTAACTTCCCCTAATTACCTTCTCCCTCTTCCCTAATTAACTTCCCCTAAACCCTAGAAATTAAAACCGCCAAATTTAGACATCCTATCAATTACAATGGCCAATTAGTAATTGAAGTGCAATTGAATTCAATCTCAAAGTCAAAATAAGTGAAACCTAGAACTCAATTAAACCCCTAAATCCTAGAAATCAAAATCCCCAAATTTATTTGGACCCATAAACCCTAATTCGAATCCCTAATTTACACCCTAATTATGTTAATTGCGTTCAATTAAAACTTGTATACAAATACAATAAACAATAAATTAAAAGGAAAGTGTGAAACATTACTTGAATAATTGAGAATTTGTGTTCAATTGATTGAGTATAATCTTTTGGATTATAGAGTGAGAATGGAGAGGAAGTTAATTAGGGAGAAGAGAGAAGATAATTAGGGGAGTTAATTAAGTGGGAAAAGTGAAAAAGTGGGCCCAATAACGTCTTAATTGGACGGAAAACGTTAATGGGTAGTGTTACCCAAACGTTTTGTAACTTGTGGGTAGTTCTAAACAAATAAAAAAAAAAAAAATAGATAGTTGTTCACAAATGACCCTATCTTTAGGGTAGTTCTAGACAAAATTTCCTAAATCAATCATATTTGTCCAAAAGATTAAAGCAGCCTTGCCGAAGAGAACCTAGCACCATTATAACTAAGCATTATGAGCAGCCGCAGGGAGCTCAGCTTCATAAGATTAGAGCTTTTACTTGAATTATTTGACATGATTAAGCCTGATTAGCCCTATTTTCACCTTAAGTTTAGTTGTTTTCCAATATATTTTTTTGACCCATTTGACTATACACGGTCTCCAACACACGTATTAAAACGTCTATGTCTTTGTTTTTATACACGTAAAATTTATAAAAAAAAGGTCGTGTTAACAAAATATACAATTAATCGAATCTTACCAAACCACTCATGAGTCATGACTATATTACTCTATTTTTTATAGATTAACTGTAATTTATGTTCAAAGTTTTCTAAATTTGACCCCAAAAATAACAGCGGGGCAAAAGGGAGGGAGAGAGTAGTTGGTACACCAATTGGGAATAATTCCAACATTCTACTTGACCTTCGTGGCTTTGTAAGGACTATACAAGCTTTTCTTCTTCATACTGTAATTGTTTCCAGATTTACAGAGTATACATGAATATGATGAGGTCTCGATCTGTTAATGTTGCAGAAGCTTTTCTTCGTCCTTGTTTTCATGGCGCCACTTTAATCAACCTTCGTCCTCTTCATTTTCATGGCATCTCCTCAAGTAAGTTTCTCCATTTCTATACTACTTTCCCTTTTTTTCGATTTCAGTATTCCCCTCTTCAATTCGCCCTCTTTTCACCTGTTTCCTTGCCGATATTACACCAATTACGCTACTCATGACTTTGATTCTGATGACGATGATCCCAAATTGTTTCTGAAATTTGTTAGACAACAATCCAAATTAGGGTTTACTAATGTTGAAATCTCCCTTTCCCATTTCCACCATATGATATCGATGAGACCTCTTCCATCTATCATTGATTTCTGTATGTTATTGAGTGCCATGTCCAAGATTAAACCCAACCCACCTTTCTCCACTGTCATTTCTCTTTACAGAGACCTCCTTTTCTTAGGTCTTCGTCCAGATATTTACTCCCTTACCATCCTTGCTAATTGCTACTGTCGTTTGAACTTTGTTGATTTCGGCTTCTCTGTTCTCGCCAACATTATTAAACTTGGTTTTCAACCTAACATTGTCACCTTTACTACTCTCATCAACGGCTTCGTTCATACTCATCACTTGGACAAAGCCGTTCAATTGTTGGATAAAGTTGTCAAGCTTGGCTACCAACCCACATTAATCACCTATGGTTCTATCTTCAAAGGTCTCTGTAGGTCCGGTGATAATGCCGGTGCTCTCAAACTCCTCAGAAATATGGAGTCTTATGGCCATTTTATGCCTAATGTTGTCATTTACAACACCATCATTGATAGTCTCTGTAAAGACCAGTTATTACCTCAGGCTCTCCGCCTTTTCAAGGAGATGAAAGTCAAGGGAATTTCCCCTGATGTTGTCACCTTTAATACCTTAATTCGAGGTATGTGCACTTTGGGACAACAGAAAGAGGCTCAAGATATGCTGACTGAGATGTTAAGGAATAACATAACTCCTGACATACAGACCTACAACATATTTATTGATATTTATTGTAAAGATGGCAAGGTTGGTGAAGCACGGGACATTTTTTATTTCATGACTAGGATAGGATTGGTTCCAGATATCATCACTTACAACGCTCTGTTAGACGGATATTGTTTACGTGGTGAGATGGACGAGGCAGAAAAGCTTATGGATGTGATGGTAAAAGATGGTTGCAAACCTGATGTAGTTACTTACAACAGCTTACTCAATGGCTATTGCAAATCTAAAAACATTGACAAAGCTCTTGGTCTGCTCCAAGAGATGCATTCTAACGGATTAACCCCTGATGTTATCACGTACAGCACTCTTATAGATGCTTTGTGCAAAGACAATCAAATCAAGCTTGCACACCAGTTTTTTGAGGATATGAAAGCTCATGGACTGAAACCAGATATAATAGCTTGGAATTCATTCCTTGATGGCATGTGTAAGAATGGACAAATTGACGAGGCAATTACAACAGTGAAGCAAATGGGGAATACTGGAGTGATCCCTGATATTATTACATACAGTATCCTAATGGATGGTTTCTGTGAAGCTAATCGGCTTAGAGAAGCAGAGGATATATTCTCTTTTCTCATAACTAAAGGGCTGCATAATGTGCGTGCTTACACCATAATGATAAAAGGGTTTTGTAAAGAAGGGTTGCTAGCAAAAGCCGATGAATTATTGAAGAATATGGAGGACAATAAATGCTTTCCAAATGAATGCACCTTCAATACAATTATAAGAGGATTTATAGATGAAAAGGATGTGAGGAGAGCTTTAGAGCTTGTCAGCTTAATGAGAAACAAAGAGTTTGCTGCTGATAATCACACTATATCGTCATTTGTGAGCTTACTTAATGATCCAAATATTGATGATGTAGACAAGGAATTATTGAAAAAGTTTTTGGAAAACTGAGCGAGCAATGGTTAAAGCGGAGGTGGAAGGAGCAATGAGTTAAGCATAGATGATCAGCTGTGAAAGAGATGTGAAAATAGACATTATGAGTGAACATTATAAATTGGTAAGTCATATATTTAATGTGTTCTGATAGACTGTAGGCAAAAACCTTAACTCCTGTAATCTGGAACATAACCTGTAAATTTTGTATCCAATTGTTTGCTTGCCATCTGCCTGTGAGTCGCATTAGTTGTGCTATATCTTATCCAATGGTTGTAAACAGCAGTTGTGCTTACTTTGCATAGGGGTCAAATTTACCATTTTACTTGATTAGGCATAACCACACATGCTGTAATGCTGTATAGTGTATACAATGCAACTCTTGTACATAGGGCTCTTAGGCTCTACAAAGTTTTGATCGGTTCATTGGAGACGTGTTGATTGAATTTCTTGGGGTGTGTTTTAGCTTTCTGTAGATAACCAACCTTTGAAGTCTCTGTCGTTGAAGATTTTTCTTCTTCCAGGCACTTGGATCTTGCTTAACTGAACTCGTGTTTTGGTTACATAACATAGTTTTAAGCCCAGAATCAAATCATATAACCTGGTTGACATTTGTTAATTTCTTCTCTTTTTTCCATTCTGAAAAAAACAAAAAGCAAAAGGTGTGAAACACTCCAGGTTTAGAGATATATGGAACTGGTTAAGCTGCAATTCCCAACTTCCAGTTATATGGAACTGATATAGTGATCCCTGATATTATTACATACAATATCCTAATGGATGGTTTCTGTGAAGCTAATCGGCTTAGAGAAGCGGTGGACATCTTCTCCTTTCTCACAGCTAAAGGACTGCATAATGTGTGTGCTTACAACATAATGATAAAAGGGTTTTGTAAAGAAGGGTTGCTAGCAAAAGCCGATGAATTACTGAAGAATATGGAGGACAATGGATGCTTTCCAGATGAATGCACCTTTAATACACTTATTAGAGGATTTATTGATGGAAAGGACATTAGGAGAGCATTAGAGCTTGTCAGGTTGATGAGAATCAAAGAGTTTGTTGCTGATAATCACACAATATCATCATTTGTGGGCTTACTCGCTGATCCAAATATCGGTGATGCAGACAAAGATTTGCTAAAAAGTTTTTGGAGAACTGAGTGAGCAATAGTTAGGATCAAAGGTGGAAGTAGCAATGAATAAATTATATATGATCAGCTGTGACAGAGATGTGTACACAGATATTGTGAGTGAGATGTGGATTAGTAAGTCTTATATTTAATGTGTAACTTTTGATTGATTGTAGGAAAAAGCATTAACATCTGTGATTTCGAACATTTGATTTTACTTCTTTTTGGGCTTGCTTTTACTTGAATGGTGCTCATGGAAGCAGATGTGGATTGACCTATTGTATCAATTTGTGTGTGTTTACTTGGTATCTGCCTACGAGTTGCATATGTTTTCTTATTAGCCTATGAATAGTAATGGAGCTATATCTTACTATATAAGCCATGATAAGTAATCATATTTGACAGAATGGAAGAGTATAGTTAGCTGCTAGAGTTTGTCTTGGACTCTTAGGTGCTTGGAGGTGCTAGAATCTGTCTTGGACACTACGATCTATAGCAGCAAGATTTGTTTTGAGTACTTCTTTGAGCCATGGATTGGCGATTCCAATGGCAGTGACATGCATCTGCTATCCCTATGTCAGATAGCTAGGATAAAATAGTAGTCCCTAGCCTCCAATGCCCAGGCTAGGTTTATTTAGTCACAGTGCAGCAAAATTATTGACATACTCTGTGTTCAATCAGGTAATTTTACTTATATTTTCTGCATTTTGTTCCTTTTTTTTTTATTTATCGTTTGACTTTTGCATTTCATTATTGCTTGTTTATTTGATCGGATTGGATTGTTGTTTTTCTATCAATCGTTTGTTTGCTTAATGCTGCGTTTTCTTCTTCTTCTTTTTTTTTTTTTTCAATTTTTTGTTTACGAAGTATTTAAGAATTGATGATTGGCGGTAGTTAGAATTAAGTGTTGTGAGTGATTAGGGTTTTATTTTACAGAATTAGTTGAAGTAGTGTCATTGTTCGGCTGATTTCTGTTATTCTCAAAAAGTAACCAAACCCCAAAGAAATTAACACCAACAGCATGACCTCTTTTTGAGTTGTGCCCAAGTATCAAGTTCAAATTGCAATCACTTTAGTATTATCTGATCTACATCAATGAAGGATTTATTTTTAATTTTCATTTTTTTTTTTACAGAACTATAACATAGGAAATGGATAGCTTCAAAATGAATGTAGTTGACATGATGATTGATGATGATGATGATGTGCGTATGTTAGCAAATTACAAGCATTATAGAAGTATCTGGTGGTAGATAAGGTTGAATATGCTCACTAGGCATACGAACATGGTGAGATGTTAAGGTGACTGAAGGAGAGGGAAATTGGGTTATTGGCTTTGTTTTTTGTTAGATTACAAGCTCTTTTTGTACTATATTCTGAGAATAAACCAATGGACTCTTTTATGAAGGCAGTGGTGCTTTCATGGGTTTAAAAGGTTAAAAATAACTGAAAGGGTAAAATCTACACCTATAATATTCTCAATTTGTGGGTAAAGAATATTTGTATTTATAAGAATTTGGGGATCTTTTTTTCTGATCATTTCCCAAATTTATGCTTATCAAATTTTATGAACTATTTTGAGATGATTGATTAATTTGCTTAATCTGCCTCCTTCACAGGTTCCATAGTGATGTTTTCAACATTTGAGCATTTAGCTCACCATGTATACAATCATATCCTTCATCAAAGGAAGGAAAAGCAAGCCACACCAATGGTGTTGGACTTAAAATATAAACTGGCTTTGAACATTGAAAAAATGGTGTTGGTTGAAGCTCTACTTGGGCTTTTGGCCCCTAAAAAAGAGTTTGGTGATGATATGTTGATGATAAGCAGGGCCTACAAAATTACAAAAAGCATGTTTCTATGAATTCTATCTATTGGAGAAGTTGTAGCTAGAATTAGATATTACTCATGTTGGCCCCGGTAGCTGATAGCCGAAGTTGATCATATTAGTTGGTTTGACTAATTGATTGTACAAAAAGTTTTACATACAACCGATGTGCAGTAAAATACTGAACAACCGGTTTTTCGCACGTGTGAACAGTATTTTTTTTTTTTTTCCTTTTTCCAAAATAACTAACATCTTCTTCAGCAAGCTACAATGGAGGAGAGAGAAAACTCCAATTTTCCAGATTCAAAGCTCCTTCACCAAGCAACCATGGAGGAGAGAGAAATCTACAATTTTCGATCAACAATGCCGGAAACCTCCAAAGCTTCCAATTACAAAAACCTAATGCGCGAATTTCTGCAATTACAAAGAGAAAATCGACCACCATTAACGCAACATCCAGAGAAAACATGGAGTTTCGACCTCAATCAAACATTCAGAGAAGGTGAAGCAGAGAATTTCGTTGATGATTTCGATGAATTTAATGATGATAACATTCAAAACTCAAAAGTTCCAGAAATTCAAATACAAGGTAATAATCTAAAAAAATACTAACCTATTGTTTGTTTTTGCTTAAAATTTTGATTTAATTTTCAATAATTAATGCAGATATTGAAAATCAAGGTGTTTCAAATACATTAGAAGATGAAGATCAAGTTATTCCGAACACACTAGATGAAGAAGGACAACCAGTAGATGAAGACGAAGGTAAAATTCTATAAATGTGACATATATTAAGGCAAAAGTTACATATATTATGGCAAAAATTACATTGACTATATGTTTATTTATAAAAGCATTTATGCATGTCTCTTGGTACAAAAGTTACTAATATCATTACAAATGTTACCTTTATTAATACAGAAGTTACTTGTATTATATACCTCTGTACTAAATTATTTCTCTAATGTGCAGGTTTACACATTGTCTCTATTTAGAGACTTTGAAGAGGAATTTGGCTACTCAATAGCGACCACAGTACAAATTCTAGGGAGAACTGAAGAAAACATTATTCTTTATGAAGTATCGCTAGAAGAAAAGCCATGGTCTTCCCAACACGTAAGTTACATACATGAGAGCCAAACTATATGGTGCACTTGCAAGAATTTCGAAGCTTCTGGTTGGCTATGCTATCACTGCCTCAGAATTTTACATCTACATTCTATTACAAGAATTCCAGAGAAGTACATTAGCAAAAGATGGACAAAGCTTGCAAAAACTGAAGTATGGAATAAAATGGAAAATAAGGATCCAAAACTCCCATATACACCATGGAGACATACAATGATGAGAAAATATTATAACTTAATCTTAAAGAGTCAAGAAAATGAAAAGGCAAGAGCATTCATGGAGGAAAACTTCAAAAACTGTATGAAAATGGTGGAAGACTTACTTGCGGCCGAAGCTTTTACAGAGGAGGTTGCTGCAAGTGATGACAATTCTAATGTGGCAGAGAGTGCTCAGAGTACCAATAATACTGCTTCTTCATCAACAAGTACAACCATACCCACTATATTAGACCCTAAGAGAGCTGTAACAAAGGGAAGAAGCAAGAGAGCAAAAGGAGCACTTGAAAAAGGGAAGAAATCAAAGCAAAAAGCATTACCAAATCCAAATTCAGAGTTTGGATCGAAGACACCTACTGTGCGACTTTTTTGAACTTGTAGTGAGTTTGGATGAAACACAATTGAATACTTTTTTGTAGTGATTTTATTTTTGTTTAATGCTACTATTGACTTTCATACAGAATTTTGAATTGTGATATGGAATTGCTCATGAATTATGAACATTTATATAATATTACACTGATACTTAAAAAAGTAATGCATATACTGGAAAAAGTGATGCATATACTGGCAAAAGTGATGAATTTACTAACAAAAGTGACACTAACACCTACAAAAGTGATGCATTTACAGAAAAGTAACACTAATACTCGCAAAAGTAACAATAATGCTCACAAAAGTGATGCATCTTCTCACAAAAGTGTTACTTTTTACTCACAAAAGTATTGCATATTCACAAAAGAAATATGTCACTCACAAAAGTGATATTTATATTCACAAAAGTGACAATAATTATCACAAAAGTGTCCGTTTTTAAAATTAATAATATGGTAATATATATGTTAAACTTCAAGTTTTCATTTAAATAAACTATATCTCTGTATGATGATATATGATACACTTATAAAATTATAATCAGAAATATAAATAAATAAAAATAAGAACAACAAATTACCAATATTTAATCATATATATATATATATATAAAATAAAATTTGTACAAACATTTTGAAAATATTAACACTAGTTTAAGTGTCGATATTTATCACTAGTTTCAACTTCCAAAAGTACTTAACTAATTACAACTTCCAAAAGTACTTAACTAATAACAACTTCCAAAATTAGCTAAGATTTAGAAGGAGTGTACTTCCGTGTAGCCTTTGTAGTTCGTTTTGATTTCGGAGCAGTGTCAACAGTAGGAGGAGCAGTTTCAGATTTCTTCTTTTTCTTCTCCGCTGCTGCAGCCTTCCTCCTTCCTTCAATTTCAGCAACATATGCAAGATCGCTCTTCTTCTCATTAAATTTTTCAACTTCTGCTAAGACATCAGATCTTGATTCGTTCATGTCAGACAACACGAGTTTTGCACAAATCTTAGCACGTAAAAATTTCCTCCCAGCAGCCTCACAACAAGAAAATAAAAGGCGCATTAATATGTATAAAACATTAGAATAAACATAACAAATGAATTAATTCGCATCAGTTTCAAGATCACTCATTGTTCTAAGTTCATCTACAGAAAACGATGTATCACCAACAAAATGCTCCATATGACACATCATATACACACCACAGTCATTATTATCAACCTTACTCTTCCGCCACACTAAATCAGCAATTTTAAACTTGTAAAAAGGGACTTTTTCACTCTTTGGATGATTTCTTCGTGCAAGAAAATCACCAAATTCAGAACACTGAAAAAAAAAAAAATATTAAAAACAACAAAAAAAATAAGATTAATATAGAAACATACTTTAAAATAGACAATAACATACCAGATAAAAAGTCAAATTTTGAAAATATGTAATCATGTCATGACTCCAAATGATATTATCAACATAATGAACCAATTCATTGCCATGATAAATCACAAACATCACATAATGTTCATCAACAAGAATAGGAAAATAAACCTGAAAAAAAATAGAACAAAAGTTAGCATAAAGCACATCCATCACACAGTTAATATATATTAAAAATTAAGATATATACCAAGTCTGCACCAATAACATCACAACAAGAATTTTCATATGTAACCCATTCATCCCAAATTTCATGCAAATCCGAGACAGCATAACTAGCAGAACTATCTTCGTTCCCCTCTGATACTTGCAAAAAAGCAAACTAAAAGGAAAAAATAAATAATTGAAAAGAGTAAGAAAACAAATAACTCAAAGCAGAAAGTTGCTTACACTTTGCCTCGCACCAAAAAAGAATATTTTAGGACCACAAGTATCATAAAAACATGATTCATTTAGATAAATGCAGTAGCAATCAACTACTGACCAACGAACCAAATTAGGATGCACCAAAGACACCATATCCTCTCTTGGAAAGAGAAAATGCAATCCATAAGTAACAAGATTCTCACTGCAAGGTCAAACAATATTATTAATATCAAAACAAAAAGAAAAAGAAAAAAAAAAGGTTTCAAAAAATATGACAATTAAAAAAGAACTTACTTATTATTAAATAAGTGTTCCACCAGACAATAATCAAGAGCTTCTAAATATAATCGAGGTAATTTTTCACTAAAAGCACGAGAATTTTTTTTCATAAATGGCGTAACAAACACTACACTCTGACCACCAATTTCACCATAGTCCAAAGAACACAAACTTTTATTCGTTCTTCTGACTGAACCACCTCTGCCACCACCATCTCCACCACCTCCACCATCTCCACCATCTTGTAGGGTAGACTTTGATGAAGTACTTGCATCAACTTTAAGTAACTCATCCACCGACTTCATTTTTATAAACTCATCAATTAAGCCATCAATAAGCTTATGATAATGCGGGTTAGATAAAAGCTGTTGTGTTTGAGACAACTCAATAGAATCAGCATCCAAAGAAACAGAATGTTCAACAAAACGACTATGCACCAACCGTTGTAAAGAACTAAAACAATTGGAATTCACAGATGAAAACAGCTCCATGTTCCTTTTCATATAAAGAAACGCTTCATGCAAATCCTACACATTAACAAACAATTATATGAGACCAAGAACAAATGTTTTATTAAAGAAAAAAAAAAACATACATCAGTTGCAGCACTTTTGATCTCAGAATCAGTTAATACTCCTTCAGGCAAATCGAAAGTCACACATCTTCTATCATCATCAATAGGAACCGCACAACCTTCACCCTTACTTAAGTTGTTAACATTCAAATCAACACACTTAGCAGAAACTGGATAAGTCAATTCATTCAAAACCCCCTGACCAAATCCACCAGCCTTCAACTCCAAGGACACCCTGTTCCTCACTTTTTTATCTGTCCAGTGTTGGATAAGAGGAATAGTGGAGTTCTCTACTACACCTTGGAAATTCAAACGATGAAAATACATAATCTTAAGCAACAACAAACATCCACTAATACTATCTTTAGCCTCAGAATTTTTGTAACTAACAACAGAATTCATCAACTTTCTCAAAACAAATGAACACCAATCAAGATTTTTAATCTGATCAACATCATCCACAGCATTAACTAACCTAAAATTAACAGTCCTATTAGCGGTAGGAACAAGCATACTACTAAGAGCATGCATAACAAATAACCTCTTAAATTCATCACCTCCATCCACCAACTCCTTGATCCTAGTTTCTAATCTAGCCAAAGGTATCAACTCCTTAACACCAACATCAAAAGAAGTTCTCCATTTATTTTTCAATGCACTATCATCTTGAGATTGACCTTTGTAACTACCCTTCATTTCAGGAACCTCACGACCTTCTACCTTAGGCAAACCAAAAACATCACACACATCATGCTTAGTCACAACAAACTCCTTACCATCAGCTACACAAAACATACAAGTATATCCATTAAAACTCTCAACAAGCCAAGGAAGTATACCTCCAACCATACTCTCCACACGTAAAGACAACAAACCACCAAATCCAACCTCTTCTACATCTTTTTTTTGAGTCGGAGAAAGCCCACTTATAACCTTAACTAATGAAGAAGGTCTACAACGACATGTAATTTTCCTATCAGGCCTGAAAAAACAAAAAAAAAGATGCTTACCATTCAAAAATGATAATAACATACTTATATACTGAAATTTTAGTTATCATATAAAATTAAACATGAATTATGAACATTTATACAAATTTTTATACTTATTCTCACAAAAGTGACAATCATAATCACAAAAAATGATACTCATGAGAGTCATGACACTCATTACATGGATATAATATTCAAAAAAGTGATTACTATCAAAATTTTCACAAAATGATACTTGCACTCACAAAAGTGACATTGATAAATACAAAAGTGAAAGATATACTCACAAAAGTAACACTTAATATATTGACACAAAAATCACATAAAAACAGTCCTATTAATCAAAGTTACCTATACTCTTACAAAAGTCACAATTCCATTCACAAAAGTATAGCAAATATACAATATTCTAAAACATAAAATCTTACTCGTCATCCTCTTTTTCTTGCCTCTTCCTTTTATTTCCCTTGGATGTACTTCCTTCACCTTTCAACATCTTTTTTCTTCCTGCATCCATTTTATTTACCGCTTTTTGAGCTCTACTATAACGAAAACCTTTGATAGATCCTACCAATTAATTTTAAAAAAAAACATCACAATAGAAATTTTGACAAAATTTGACAAGATTGTACCAAGCAACACAAAAAGATAAACATATCCACCATGTTTGCCACACTAAAATCAAATGCAGCATTTAATTTATATATATTAAACTGTAAACGAAAATAGTAGAAAAATACCTAAAATTCATACACAAAATGCTTTCATCAATTTGATTGTACTACTATGAACATGCAATTTTTCATTTGGACATTTTTACAAACACCTAACAGGCAATTCTCAAAATAAACCTAATCTAAGCAAAAGCAACTGATTAAAACGCACAACTAAACAAACATAGCACAAATTGTACAAAAAAAAATTGCGAAAATGAGAACAAACACTAACCTAGAGCAACATTATCATCACCAGAAACCTTCTTCTTCACCATTGCAAAAACTACAAAAATCCAAAACAACGAAACCCTAAAAATCGAAACACTTCAAAATTGAATAAAATGAAATAAAATTGAGAAAACAAACCTGAAATTAGCAACAATCAACTTCAAAGTGAAGAAATTAAAGATCGAAAGAGAGAAATTCAAGTAGCAACGCCAAAAGCAAGAGAAGAAGAGAACGAGAGGAGAGAGAAAAAAAAACCAGAGAAAGAGAAACAGGAAAGAGAAGAAGAAAGAGAAAATAAGAAATTTTTTGGTTCTTTAAATTTACACGTGTGAGCCCAAATTGAGCAGCCCAATTTGCACTTGTTTGCTGTGATTTTCAGTAAGTTAGTGAAAACCCGCTTTTATTAAAAGTTTGTCTTGATTGTATTAGTATGATTTGACTAATTGATTGTATTATTTTGTTTGATTAGTTGATTTTTTTGTTTTCCGAGATGGGACTTTTTTTACAAAATTTTTTACAAAATAAATAAATTCCAATTGCAAGCGTAATACGAAGTACATATGATAGGACGAAGCAATTATCTTTGCAATGGACAATGGTTGTTGCTTGTTGGGAGCTAGGGTATAAAGGACATTTCAAACTTTAATTAGCTAGCCTCTCTTTTAAATCAACGTTTTCAAATTAGTGGTTTGAAGGCCAAACCGCCCATTGAACCTGCTCCTAATAAACCAGCAGAAATGCAGAATCAGTTGATTGAATTGCTCCAACCACTCTCATTTTTATTTTGGCCCTGTTTGGTCAAAAGCTTAAAGCTGAAACTGATTGTGTTAGCTGATTTTGACTAGTTAATTGTATTAATTGATTTGACCAACTTATTTTATTAGCTGATTGTATAAAAGTGCTTGGTAAATAGCTGATAATTTAAAGCTGATTGATTATGTGATATGACCAATAAGCTAATTGTGAGGGAGGTAGTTCATAAAGGTTTTTAAAGTAAATGAGGGTATAAGTGTCATTTTATCATAATAATTGAATAAGCTATTTGATTTAGGAGCTTTTTGTAAAAGAGGTTGTTTAGCAAAATAAGCTTTCTACTAAACACTTTATGTTAGCTTATTTAATACACGGTAGTCAATAACCTAATATTGGTCAAATAAGCTACTTACCAAACACGTTTTTTACCTACCAAACTCTTAGCCACAAGCAGCCATTATTATTAATTTATTATTATTTAGTTATTATTGCTTTAAATATCTTCACCACTGTCGCAGAGCCAACACTAGCAGGTGTGTCTGAGAACGAGAGTCAGTGTGAGAGCTGCTGAACTGGGAGTGAGACGATGATGATGACCAAAGCTTTACTGTCACTTGCTTCTGCTTCTTCGCCATTTTTAGGTAATCTTCTTCATCTTCCTTCTTTTTCCCCTCTTTCCTCTTTTATTATTTCTCCTCTTTCTTTTCCTTTTCATTCTCGATTTTACTCTTATCGTCCCAAACAATCCAAGTATATTGATGTTGATTTTGATTTTGATTTTGATTTTGATTTTGATTTTGATGACCCCAAATTGTTTTTCAATTATGTTAGACAACAATCCAAATTAGGGTTTACCAATGTTGAACTTCTCCTTTCTCTTTTTGATCATATGATATTGATGCGCCCTCTTCCTGGTATTATCGATTTCAATACGCTTTTTTCATCCATTTGTAAGATTAAACCCAACCCCCCTTTCTCTACCGTCGTTTCTCTATACAGGCAGCTACATTTCTTAGGTGTTCGTCCAAATCTTTATTCCCTTACCATCCTTGCTAATTGCTACTGTCGTTTGAACTTTGTTGATTTTGGGTTCTCTGTTCTCGCCAACATTATTAAACTTGGTTTTCACCCTAGTATTGTCACCTTTAATACCCTCATTAACGGCTTCGTTCATACTCATCAGTTGGACAAAGCTGTTCCTTTATTGGATAAAATTCTCAAGCTTGGCTACCAACCCACATTAGTCACCTATGGTTCTATCTTCAAAGGTCTCTGTAGGTCCGGCGATAATGCCGGTGCTCTCAAACTCCTCAGAAATATGGAGTCTTGTGGCCATTTTATGCCTGATGTTGTCATTTATAGCACCATCATTGATAGTCTCTGTAAAGACCAGTTATTACCTGAGGCTCTCCATCTTTTCAAGGAGATGAAAGTCAAGGGAATTACCCCTGATGTTGTCACCTATACTACCTTAATTCGAGGTATGTGCACTTTGGGGCAACAGAAAGAGGCCCAAGAAATGCTGACTGAGATGTTGAGGAACAACATAACTCCTGACATTGAGACCTACAGCATGTTGATTGATATGTATTGTAAAGATGGCAAGGTTGGTGAAGCACGACACATATTTGAATACATGACTAAGAGAGGTTTGGTTCCCAATATCATCACTTACAGTGCTCTGTTAGACGGATATTGTTTACGCGGTGAGATGGACGAGGCAGAAAACCTTATGGATTTGATGGTTGAAAATGGTTGTAAACCTAATGTAATTACTTACAGCAGCTTAATCAATGGCTATTGCAAATCTAAAAACATTGACAAAGCTCTTGGTCTGATCCAAGAGATGCATTTTAACGGATTAACCCCTGATGTTATCACGTACAACACCCTTATAGATGCTTTGTGCAAGGATAATCAGCTCAAGCTTGCACACCAGTTTTTCAAGGAAATGGAAGCTCATGGACTAAAGCCAGATGTAATAACTTGGAACTCATTACTTGATGGCATGTGTAAGAACGGACAATTTGACGAGGCAATAGCAACAATGAAGCAAATGGAGAATACTGGGGTGGTCCCTAATACTGTTACATACAATATTCTAATGGATGGTTTGTGTGATGCTAAGCGCCTTAGAGAAGCGGTTGACATCTTCTCCTTTCTCACAAATAAAGGGCTGCATGATGTGTGTGCTTACAACATAATGATAAAAGGGTTTTGTAAAGAGGGGTTGCTAGCAAAAGCCGATGAATATTTTAAAAATATGGAAGACAATGGTTTCTTTCCAAAGGAACGCACTTTCAATACAATCATTAGAGGATTTATAGATGGAAAGGATGTTAGGAGAGCTTTAGAGCTTATCAGCTTAATGAGAAACAAAGAGTTTGCTGCTGATAATCACACTATATCGTCATTTGTAGGCCTACTCACTGATCCAAATATCGATGATGCAGACAAGGAATTGCTAAAAAAGTTTTTGGAAAACTGAGCAAGCAATAATCAGAAAAAAAAAATGGAAGGAGCAATGACTAAAGCATATATATTATCAGCTGTGACAGAGATGTGTACACAGATATTGTGAGTGACTTGTAAATCAGTAAGTCATATATTTAATGTGCTTTTGATTAATTGTAGGAAAAAGCATTAACATCTGTGATTTCGAACATTTGATTTTACTTCTTTCTTGTATGGTGCTCATGGATGCAGATATTGTATTTTGTATCCATTTGCGTGTTTTTATTGTAGTGAAATTGATATGAAGTCTTGAGTGTTACCTGTAAGTTCTTGAAAACTTATAAGGGCTTTTGAAGCTAGCATGAATGTGTAACTTAGCAAATGACATAGTGTAAACTGCTAAGGGAAACATGACAGCAAAAATTGTGAAATCTTTTGGTCTATCATCTACTGAAAACTACTATCCACAAATGTATTAATTTAGCTAGTCAGGACTCAGGAATACATTGCTTAAGTTCATAACTCTTTTAGTCTAAAATTACAATCATTCTATCCCGACTGCACGCACTGCCTACAAATCGTCAAACAATAATCAAAGACAGGCCTCGGTTAAACTTAAACAAGCCAACAGATGCAATATCAGTACTGCAGGGATCTCCTAGTCTGTTTTACCAGCAGCCAGGCTCAGCTTTGAGCTTAGAAGTACTAATTCAGCAACAAAAGCCTTATATAACAACATTCGCTACAAAGCATCTGGACTCTCTTCTGATTAAGTGTAATTTTATCTAGTCCCTGCCTCCCTGGTATGTATGAAATAGCTGCAAATCAGAACTTGTGTTGGAAAAGGAAAAGTTAACAAAATTATTTGATTATTTTCTTACTGTGATTACCGGCAAAGGTGTACAAATTTATTTAATTAATTAAATTGTTAATGTAATTACCAGCAAAGGTAAACAAAATTGATTAATTTATTAACTAAACAAAGTAGTAGTTGACCTCATCTAATGAAGAATAAATCTGGGAATACATTTCATGTCAACCTATTTTTTATTAGCCGGCAAAGACATGGTAATCACTATCTTAGCAATGAAAATATATGACATGCACGTTCTTGTTTATATATTCATTGCATACATACTCTTATTTGTCTTGCATTTATTCAAATTTCAATCAATCATCCTTTATGAGTTTTATTTCATATACGAATTACAAAATATAACATACTCAAAATATGCATCCTTCACCTTCTTCTGTAATGGGCACATCCTCTAAAGGCGATAGTGCTCGGTACTCTAATGGCAGCAACTTCAGTGATGATGAGGCCGGTATTTTTATGACTATTGATAATGAGAAGGGAGCTGAGTTCTTTGCTATTGAGCCCCCCAGAGCTGTCCTTACAAGGGATAGCTCGGAAAGGGAGAAACAGATCTCGGTTGACCCTATTTCATTGCAAGGGTCAAACACTATTAGGCAAGCCAGCTTTCGACTGGTTTCTCCTCCTACTAATCAGAATTTGGGCCCTAATGCTCCACCGTCTCCTTCACCACCACCAAAGCTCAAGTTTGTGAGCTCGAGTCTTCCAGGCTCCAACTCTTCTTCCCCAGAAAGTTTATATAAGAAGTATCAAAAGAATCATAGCCAACAGGCTGCTGCTGCTCCTCGAAATAATCTCTCGAGAATGCAGTCTGTGATGGATGATACGCACCTTGCTATGGTGGAGGCTAACACGCGGAAGAGCAAGTCTCTTGGTGAAGGGAGAACAAGCGGTCCTGTAGATGATTTTGATCTCTGGCTTGAGAAATCAAGCCACAACTCGGGAAAAGATCAGAGCAGTAGTGGTAATAATAATAACAATAATAATAGTAATAAACACAGTGGCTTTTCCAAGCCACCACTTGGACCTGGCAATGTAGATCGCCATAGCAGTACGATGAAGAAGAGCAAAAGTAGAGACCCAAATTTTTCGGAGGAAAAATTTAAATGCGGGAAGTTGTGCCTTTTCCTTCCTAGAGGGAAGGGCAAAACTGTAAGATCCATATCAACGGCATCAACAATGACACAAGCATCGTGCAAGAGTGAACCAATGGCAATATCGAGGAGAGTCTCATTGGAGAAGTTTGAGTGTGGGTCTTGGGCCTCATCCTTAGAGAATGAGGAGGGAGAATCTGCGAACCTCTTCTTTGATTTGCCAATGGAGCTGCTAAGGTGTAGCGTGAGCGACATGCAGTCCCCAGTGACAGCTGCCTTCGTGTTTGATAATGATGACGACAATGACACCAAGGAAGACGACAAAGACAATAACAAAGATGCCCAGATGGCCTTCCATGCCTTCCTAGAAGCACAAAGTTAAGACTTTTGTAGTTTTGTTTTGGTTTATAGTTCTGTGTTTTAGTAGCCCTCTTTTACTTGTAAGTCTGCAGATGCTTTTGTATATTTCAGAATAGGCATCTGAATTGACAATATAGTTATGTATTATGTATGAGATCAAGTATGTAGCACTTGCTAAACATTTCCTTAAGTTTAAGTCTAAGGTTCAGAGCTTCTGCCTTCATCCTGTTACAAACAGGTGTATAATCTAGGTCTCTGACGCAGGCCTCAAGTTTGAACAGTTCAAATTTATAAGCCTAAATTTCGCCGTCTCATGAAGTAAACCATAAGATGTGCAAATCGCTCTCCATCCTAAATAATTGGTCAATACTGGAAAGAAATACGACGTATCTTTTAAGGAAATGATAAATAAAATGCCACAAAAATCCTTCACAAGTTGTATTTCACATCTTTGCCATACTAATAAGATAATTTATTGGAAATCTTAGTCAAAGATATCATATAAGGTAATACATAAAAAATAAAATATTAATGTGTACTAATTTTATAAAGTGGCCTATTTCTTAATACAATCTCAGATAAAAATGCAGTCTACTTCAAATCAATTAAGGACAGAGAACATATCAAATTGCAATATCAGAATAATCTAACGTGGGCAAAATTTCACAGTATAATAAAAATTCACCTATTATAACTTTTCTAAAGAATATAAAAAATGCTTCCTATTACAATTCATTCGTGAAATTCAAACTCCACTCGTGAATATAAATAAAATTACAGGATGGTATGACTATGAAAGCACATAATATACAGCTATGTAGTTTGTAGACAAACCTCCTTAGCTCATCATCTTCCACAATAATATACACAGGATAATTAAAACGAATTCCTAGCATGTCTCGAGTTGGTCAGTATCTTATTCGGCGCATCTTAGCGTTTTCCATTTATTCAGAATCACCTAGCTGTGTAGATCTGTACCCCTCACAGTTTATCAACCTATAGTGCAAGAGGATGTGAATGATACGGGGAGGGAGGTACTCGCTGATTGCCTTATGCTGATGAAAATAAGTAAACGAATAACACACAATCAAACAATTACAACAGCACACTAAGACAAGATAAAGAAAGAGGTCAATATACTAGGTTGCACATCAAAACTTGAACCATTATGGCAGGATTCAGGGTTGTCTAGGTCTCTAGGACATTGATCATTGAATGATTTCATATCACTTGCCCCAATTATGGACACAACATCGGCAGCAGACAAAAAAGTAATGAATATTATTCAGATAGTCGTTCAAGAATATAACAAAGATTTTGACTACAATACAGAGGTGAAGCTTACCAAAAACGTTCACTCATTTGTAGCTGAACAGACAAACCAGGGGCGCCCTATCAGAACCTTGTCATCTGCTGAAGCATTTGAGATGCAGTTGATTGTGCAACAAGTTGATCTGGACTAGGGGAGGCTTTCATAATGTGGTTGGCACCTGACAAGTTACCAAGTCCTTGTTTCACCATTTCTTTAGAATTGTTTGGGTAGAATTCTGATTGTGAAGAGTCCACCAGGGCACGTATCTGCCATACAATTTTAGTGCACAAAAACAATAAGAACTCATAAAAAAGGAGACATTTAAATAAATTAAATGTAATAAAAACATACCATATCAAGGCGCTTTCTGTGCACATCACTTGAGGGCTGCAACCACCAGATGTCAACATGTTAGAACAAATCTAATCTCTCTTCCCCCGTAGATAATGATAATAATAATAATAATAATAATAATAATAATAATAATAATAATAATAATAATAATAATAATAATAATAATAATAATAATAATAATAATAATAATAATAATAATAATAATAATAATAATAATAATAATAATAATAATAATAATAATAATAATAATAATAATAATAATAATAATAATAATAATAATAATAATAATAATAATAGCCTCGTAGTTTTTCTCAATATATACGAGTAGCAAAGTTAGGTTTCTGTGAGTTCAAAGGAAGCCAGAGACTTCCTTCCATGTGAACTCTTCTCCCTCTCGCTCAAAACAGTCAAAAGTGATTATTATGTTAGCCTAAAAAGGCATAAAAAATCATTTTATCACAAAAGTTCAAGAAAGTGTACATCACAAACAAGAGTTGACATTTGCACAGCAAGAACTTACACTGTCGGTGTTGCTTTTCCGATCTTCACTAGAGTATCCTGGGATAGTCAGATGCCAATTTTTTTCTGCAATGGAAAATTTAACATTAGGAAGACATAAGCTCAATTAGATATTCTAATTCCTAATAAATGGAACACTTATCCAATAAACAAATGAAGGTCTGTGGAACAGTCAGGCAGTCAGCATCGTTTCAATTTTCAGTGTGAGATCCTATAAAAAGGCAGTGTGTCATCTCTCAGCCATCACATTTAACAACTCAATACCTCCAATTTAGTTACATGTTGGTAGTTGCAGCAAAAAAACAAAATAGGATAGTTGACAATTACTCCTATAGTCTTAAGCCAGATAAGTTTCAGGGTTTCCAATTTATCCACCTGTTTTAACACATACCATTAACCCTCATTATCACATAATGATATGAGCGCACATACTTAATTATCCATTCATCAAGGTAAAGCTTCCAGTATTTCCTTGAAACAAAAATTAATACCTTTTAAAAGGATCCCAACAACACATGCTAGAGACCTAGATCGTGATGCAAGCAATAATTTCAGAATCATAATCTCAAGATCATGCATACTCCCACCAAAATCATCTGGTTAGCCTTCGAAAGGAAAACATAATAAAGAAAAAGGAACCTGGAACTGGCAGATAATAGTTACAGGAAAGGCACAAGACAAAAAAAAAAAAAAAAAAAAAAAAAAAACATTTTCTCAACTATTCTTTTCAATAAGCATGTGAAGTTTGAAATACATAATATACCTTGACACCATGCTGCAAACAAATTAAACTGTCGTCCCCAATACCATATGATTGATACTATTCCCAATAAAAAAAAAATAAAATCAATAAACAGAATGTGATTTGCAATCCCTTTTTTTTTTCAGCTTAGAACTTAACAGCAGATCCTTCAACTTGTATATTTAGCTCCTTTGTAGAAAACAAAATAATCACTAACATGGAAACTAGAAGCAGATTCAACTTTCTCCAAGAGTACAGCATAACAGAAAATAATAGAGATCAACAAATGCACCAATAAGGCAAACAATGCCCAGTTAAGCTTGTAAGAGGTAAGAAATGAGACCTAGGTGTAGCAACACATCCTTGGATTCCAGTGTTGAAGATTTTCGATGCTTTGCCAAATTGCATGCAAATGTAGTAACCTGCAAAGAAGAGCAGCAATAATCAGTTACACAAAGAATAACAATCAGAATTTCAAGACTTAAGAAAAAAAGATACTGTGGGACTGTGGGAATGACGGCAATTTTGAAGGTAAATAAATGACAATATAATAGTTTTGTTAGTTTTGTGCCAGAGTGATAACACTAACAAGAAATTAAAACATTTTCTTTTAAGTAATCTGGCAGATGTCTTGTAGTCCAAGAGCCATGGTAGAACATGCAATCAAACCTTACCAGGACACAAAGAAAATACCATTCCCCAACCATTACAAATAACCACAACCAAAACCATGATGGAAATCTAATGAGGTCTACAATATCAAAAGCTTAAGCAATTCATCAGCTAAAAAGATAGCAACACTCACTGAATCAATGAAGTCATCAGCAATATCTAAGAGAAGATCTTCAACTTCAGGATCCAGCTTACCATGTGCATCCACCTGAGAACAAATCAATTGCATATAAGAGCCATATAGCCAAAAATTGATGCAATATGTGAAGAAAGTAGGATAGGACAAAAGAAGGTCATAAGAAAGTGGAATAAAAAGGGTATATAATTTTATGTTTAAATATAAAATACTACCTCCGTTACAAGTTATATGCAGTGATTAGACATTTTCCCTCTCTACTTTTTGTCAAATCGTTGCACATAACCTGTAACGGAGGTAGTAATTGATTAACTTTGTAGGCTTAAAATTTCTTGAAATAGCACTAGCTACGTAATGTAATTAAGGCAGTCTTGCACCGTACCAAACCAATAAATACCCCCAATTACTAACACATGACTATATGAGCATTCAGTTTTGACAAGTTAAAAATTAGCAGTAGTTCAATAGCACATGCAATGAATTTCCAAATCTGGGAAGGGCATGAGAAACTATACTACCCCTGTTTCCAAAAGTTCTTAACTTATATCATTTGCACACAAATTAAAATAACTGGAGGGAGAGTGTATGTGGTGAGTGGGTGTAAGAGAGGTGGATAAAGTAAGAAAGAGTGAGTGAAAAGACGTAAATATGGTAGGATAAGAGGGGTAAGGTAGAAAAAGGTTTTGCCAAAATAGAAATAAAGTGAAAGTGTTGAGAACTTTCGAAAATGGACGAAAAATGGAAAATGGACGAAAAATGGAAAGTGCTAAAAACTTTCAGAAACAGAGTTGATTTGTAATAAAGACTGCCATTTTCAAATTTCCACAAATCCTCCATATATTAGCTGCAATCAATGTAAAAAAATGGAAAAAAATCAACCGGACAGCACCTGGGAAACCAAATCTTGTATCTTTCGTTTCCCAAGAAGTTGATTCATTGCCTCGGTTCCTTGACTTGAACTACCCCCTGGAGTAGTTGTTCCAGATACAGTAGCATCTGGTTGTGATCCAGTTAGGCTTAATGACTTTTGGCCTGCTGGTCCCTGTATCCTTGGAGATAACTGTTGCTGCTGCTGCTGCTGATTCATAGTTGGTGATTGCTGTAGCAGGTGCGGGTGCTGCTGCTGCTGCTGTAATTGCTGTTGTTGTGTTGATGGTTGTTGCTGCACTAATGGTTGCTGTTGTAGCTGCCGCATTGGCTGCAGGGATTGCTGCTGCACCTGAGGGTGCCCCATTGAGGGCTGCTGTTGAACCAGCTGTGATAATTGCTGGGAATTCAAAGACATGGTCTGCTGCAACTGAGAAGATTGACTTATATGTTGTTGTAAGATCTGTCTCTGATTCTGCTGCAGACGCAATGATGGTGATCCAGGGGCAGACATCGCGGGCATTTGCTTCATCCATTGTTGCTGAGACAAAGAGTTCTGCATCATACCTGGCTGTCCATTTTGAGACAAGCCAGACAACTGAGAGTTCATATATGCCAATGATGACGTTCGTGACATGCTCTGACCCTGAATTTTCTGGAAGCGGAAAGATAATAAGCGTCAGATTCTTGATCACAAAGGATGGGCATACACACATACTAAAGGCTAAGTAAAACGTATAGGACTCATTAATGAAGAACAAAACACAGAGACACGATAGCGCATTAGGATCCATCTATGTGCATTTTAGATGGTTCACTATCATATACAGTAAAATGTAGGAGAGGGAAGAATATGTATATTTTTAATGGCATGTTAAATAGAAAAGGTGGCACTTAGTATTTGACTTTTGAACCCATCAAATCTATAGCTAATTCTAAAGTGGTTAGAGGTTGCAGTAGTGTTTTAGGAAATCTAGTGAAGTAGTGAGCCTAACTTAGTTATTGGTAGCATACTACAATATATTACCTTAAGTCCCTAAATACCATTTTTATATATTTTATCTTTTATTTCAGTATATTATTCAGGTCTTTTATGGAGCAACTACTTAGTCACTAGTTATGCTGATCACTGTCTAATTAGATGAAACGCTGGCACCAATTTGCTAGTGACAGTGAGTAGAACTGCTAACTGCTAGTAAATATTGCTAAACATGCACTGAACATTTGTGGAGATAAGTTACTTATCCAGTCATCCTCATCGCCTACAAAATATAGATACTATCTGCAGCATTTACACCCTACAATCAATCATTTAAGTACAAATTACAAGTAAGAAATCAAATAGAAATGACAGAAATTGATCTCTTCACACAAATGTTATATTCCCATACAATTGCCAATCCATTAAATTGGATCATTTTCCACTCATCTCCTTCCACAGTAACACAACATAGTCATTGACCCCTCAAAGTTATTGCTGCCATTAAAATCACTCTTCCTGGCACTTTAGACCAATAAATTATTGCCCAGCTTTATCAGGTTTCATCATTTTGTGTCCCAAGTGAACCCAGAAAAAACAAGCACATGATTGCCTGGGAAAGGCATCAGCACAAAGTGACAAAATTATGAACAAGCAAAGAACTTCTAGAGGAACTTATTCAGGTAACATGCAATAGCAATCCTGCAAACTTGAGCTATGAAGCATCATTAATAGAAGGGAACTCGTCCATTCAATTTCGCTATGCCGCATAACACTCTATAGCATTGGAAGTGCCTAAATAATAAAGAAGCTGAAACGTCATCCTCATAGACCAGCTAAGATATGGACCCACTTTATAATTAATGACTGGCTGATTTTAATGTAACTAAAGAGATTTTTCACATTTTCTATAATATCTGAACATTCATCCAATCAATAAGGTAATAGTTGCTGATTGTTAACCATCTTTAACAGTTTATAGGATTAAAGATTGAACTAGTCGAGTCCTACCCTACAACACCTGACAGATCATCAATTATGTAAAATATAGCATCTATGTCTGGCTTGACCTTAGTTCTTATCCTATAGTTCCAGTAGAGCCCTTATCTAGAGTTCTGGACAAGCTGGGTATAGAGTAAGCAAGACATTAAATTAAAGTAGTCTGGCAAGATGTCTTCCTGCTTTATAGAATTAAGAGAGTTTTGACAAACCATTTAAAGCAAAGCAGAAACAAACTTGAGTAACATAAAAAGATGGCTTAACAATTCCCTTCCCCCCCACCCTTCTTCTAGCGCCCAAAAAAAAAAAAAAAAAAAAAAAAAAGGGAAACAAGAAAGTAAATGGACCCTTGTTCTCACCTCAATCCATCTGATATTACCTTTGGTTCCAACACTTAGTATATTGCACTTTTTCACTCTTGATTATTAAAAAGTAATATACCATGCATAAATACACACCAAATGGAATGTAGAATTTATGACATACCCAAACAACTGGCCTGTCTTTATAATAAGGAACAATAAATAATACTACAAACGACATCATTGTAAGAATTATACTTTGAAAGCATATTTGTAAAAATTATACTTAGAAACCACTTTTACAGTTGAACCACTGAAGTGTTGTTTTTGCACACTTAGTTTAGAGTGGCATGAAGTGGAAAATCAAAATGGATTGAATTATTTGAATGTAAAATCGCACAGCCAAAGTCAATAACAACACCAATCCCAGTATAGATCCCATCAGGGCTACCACTAGGGAGGTACAATATAAGTAACCTGCCTCGCCTCAAAAGGCAGGAACCGATAGAGTAACTGTTCAAGAACTGAAGCATCTTATATCCAAAGTCTACAAATAGATATCCAAAAAAGTCAAACATGACTAAACAAAAGCCATAACATAATTATGTAATTAAAAAAAAAAAAAAAATGTGTGTAAGCATTCTCATTGCTTTGGGTTGTAAACACACACCTTCAATTTTTCGAACGAAAGTCACTAATCAGCCTAACAAATTTTGGAATATATGCAGGTGCTGAAGAAAAAGTTTGGGTAGGACATCATGAATTTAACTGATCCAAGGAAAAAAAAAAAAAACCAGCATGGAACCGAGTAATTTGGTATGGACGACGGATTAAACCTTAATGTTTTGGGTTTCTTTCGCTACCCTAACCCCTTACCCCTCCATGTACAACATACGAGAAGAAAATGTCACTTAAAGCTGCTTTATACAATTCAGTTTTCAACTTGAAACCTGGATTGATAAAAGATGGGAATCTAGAGAGTTTGGGGACTGAGTGACCTGCTGCAGACATAAGCTCTTTTCAGACCATGCCATGTATTTTACTCAAGTAAGCATCCCATAAGTGAGAACACTTTCAGCAGAAACAAAGGACAATCTTCTTCAAACTCTTTCTTCATAAAAACAATCCATAACAATTGTTATATGAGTAAACTGAAAATACTTGTCAAAAGTGCATATTCCTATTTTGTGAAAAGAATCTTTCCTAGGTTCCAATTGTAAAAATCTTTCCTTTTTACAACTGGAAGAGTGAACACCTAACTGATCTAAGCAACACATGCTTTAGCTAAACATGTAATAAAAGCAGAGCAAGTTTCAAATCATTAAACCAAGCCAATGATGGAAAGAACAAAAGCACAAAATAAAGAAAAGAATTAACTTTTAAGGGGTAAATTTATACCTGAGGTGACGAAAGTGAATTCTGTTGTGTTAATTGCTGCCTCAACTGGGCTTGATTGATGCGTTGTTGCCCATACGGGACTGCACCATTTGCTCTTATCTGTGAACCAAAACCCAACAGCTGCAATGCTTGCATATGCGCTGATTGCCCCATTGCATTTGGTAATTGAAATTGCGAGCTTTGGAGGATATTCGCCCTTTGCCTAGGCTACAAAATTTGAAGAGAAAAAAGACAAGGGGTAAAAAAAAGAATGAAATCTATGCGTTCTTAACCAGCTATTAAGAAAGAACTACCCTCCAGGCCTCCACCATATAAATCAGAGAATTATCCTAAGAAAAAAAATTAAAGGAGCCTCCATGAATTTAAATCATTTTTGCAGCACAAGAACTACTGATCTCTATTGACTATTGTGTAATATTCCTATTCCTTCTAGGTCTTAAACTATATTTTCCTTTCCTTCAAAATCAGAGCAACTTTCCAAACTTGCCGTTTTTTTATTCATAGTGGTTCCACTAAACAATCAATATACTATTACTATACTATAGTAAATAAAAATTAAAAAAAGACAGAAACTATAAACATTATCCAATGCTTAAACAACAATGAGGGTATCATACCGAAGAAAGCAACTGCGACTGTATATTATTAAATTGGGCAGCGGCCACAGCAGTTTGGCCAGACAACACAGGCAAAGACCCACTTTGTCCAATCATTGTCGACCGAGACAAATTCCCACTGCCCAATTGTTGTTGCTGCAACTGTTGTTGTTGTTGCTGCTGCTGAGATGGTTGCTGTGGCTGTTGCTGTTGTGGATGCTGAGTCTGTTGCGGTTGCTGCTGTTGTTGTTGCGGCTGCTGCTGCTGTTGTTGTTGTTGCTGTTGCTGCTGTGGTAACTGTTGTTGCTGCTGCTGAGGTTGTAATTGTTGCTGCCTCAATGGTTGATTCAACATTGACCCACCAAAATTCATCTGTCCATACAGCGCGGCTTGCTGTTGTTGCGCTTGTTGTCTCAACAATTGTTGCTGTTGTTGTTGCTGCTGCTGCTGCTGCGGGTTCACTTGTTGCTGCTGCGGATTCACTTGTTGCTGCTGCTGCGGATTTATTTGTTGCTGCTGCAATTGCTGCTGCTGCTGCTGCAATTGCTGATGTACCTGTGATTGCTGAAGTTGACTCATCCTCAACAACGAGGCGGATCGATGCCCTGAGGCAGGGCAGGAGGGGCGGTCGCCCTAAGCACAGGGGAAAAAAATAAAATAATTCATATTCAATTATCTCGAAAAATATATAATTTTAGGGATATTTTATTCAATAATCAAATTACGCTCATAATTTTGGTTATGATGTTTCATAATCTAAGAATTTAGAACCAAGAACCCTAAACTTAAAGAATTGATAATTAAATTAGATTAGATCAAATATAAACCCTAGATTGTGAAATTGATATGATGATAACAACAAACAAAATACCTTAGAAGCTGCTTCAATGGAGGATACAAGAATTAGATTCAACGGAGAACTGCGCTTCAATGGAGAACGTTGAGTGCGCTTCAATGAAATAACTGAGAGAGGGTAAGAAATAAGAATGGAGGTCTTTTGAAAGAAAGAGAATTTGATGTAATGTGTAATGTTTTATACAAGTAGTAAGGAAATTAGAAATAAATAATATAATAAAAAAACAGAAAGCAGGAGAATATCCAATCCGATGAATCGATGATGATTGAAATTAGGCCTATAATTAGGTATTGGCACAGCTAGTGTATCATTCATTACTCAAACCAGTGCCACTGCAAATATACTCCATCATCTTTACAACTAAATTTAAGGTTTTTTTTTTTTTTTGGAAAAAAATATATGCATCCCAATGAAATAAATTACGGGCTATAGTTATTAGGAAGGCTATAGTTGTCATTATTTTACGTGTTGAACGTTGAGTGCGCTTCAATGAAGTAACTCGGGGAAGCCTGAAGCCTTGGAACCCTGTTAAAAGCCACAGTTATAATATGGGTTAGATGACTTAGATCCGTCTATTAAATAAATGGGGCGGGTCTACTTACCAAGATCAGTACTGCTTGTCATTTGTGATACGGAGTAGTAGCATTGTCGTATTGACGTGGAAACTGTAGCTTAAGTTTATGCCACCGGTTTTATTATAGTTGTTACTAATCGCGGTGTATAGTAAAGAAAAGGGAGAAGAAATAACTAAATAATGAATAAGGGATTAGCCATAGCTGCCAAGCCTTGCAGAGTTGCAGAACTTCTTCATTTGTCTTTTTGAAATGTGTAGGCTGAGATTGTAACAAACTAACGACTATTGTGATACATAGTCATTGATACAGAGTAGTATCTAATTAATTATTGTGCCTTTTAGCAAATATGATGGTACTTCGACTAAGGTCCCGTTCACTTCACCTTATTTTTGTTGAGCTGAAATTACTTTTACCGAAACAAAGTTATATTTGTTAAACTAAAATTATTTTTACTGAACTTAAATTAATTTTACTGAACTTAAATTATTTTTGCTGAACTGAAATTATTTTTTTACTGATTTTCTATTATAATTCTTGATTAAGATAACTGAATTTTACTGAACTGAACTTATTTTTACAAACTGAACTGAACTAAACTGAAATTATTTTAACTAAACTGAAATTAATTTTTCTAAACTGAACTTATTTTTACTGAACTGAAATTATTTTTACTTAATATTAATTTTTTAAGGTGAAGTGAACAGGGCCTAATATTAATCAATTTTACAAGTAATTTACTATATTATTAATTAGTGCCTTAACTACTAACATAATAACAGAGTAGTTCCCCCCCCCCCCCAATTTCCCTATGGTATGGGGTTATTTCTAATTAGATAAGTTTATTATTATTATTATTATTATTATTATTATTATTATTATTATTATTTTCATTGTTCTCAATCTGCATATTAAAGTCTTCACTAATTTCTTGGATTATTGATCTTATGCCATTAGATATTACATACATTATTTACATTTAGGCCCCGTTCACTTCACCTTATTTTTGCTGAATTGGAACTATTTTTACTGAAACAAAATTATATTTGCTGAACTTCAATTATTTCTACTGAACTTCAATTAATTTTATTGAACTGAAATTATTTTTACTGATTTTCTATTATAATTCTTCTTTAAGATAACTGAATTTCACTTAACTGAAATTATTATTATTATTATTATTATTATTATTATTATTATTATTATTATTATTTACTGATTTTCTATTATAATTCTTCTTTAAGATAACTGAATTTCAATGAACTGAACTTATTTTTACTGAACTGAAATTATTTTTACTTAATTATTATTTTTTTACGGTGAAGTGAATAGGGCCTTAATTACTCCAAATTAGGTTATTCTAGACATTTTTCATTGATTCTTCAAAAAAAAAAAAAAGACATTTTTCATTGAAGTATATGACTTGCATTAAGTTTTTGTTTGAGTGGAGATTTTATACGGAGTATATGAATTGTATAGATAGACTTCATGATACATGTCACAGTATAGGACTGTACGTGCAACCCCATTTCATGATACAAGTATTGTGTTGCGGTGTTGCCAGTACCTCCTACTGTTAATGTAGTCCAAAATTTTTCAAGAGCAGCCTTCAAATTGTCTCCTCAATATAACACCAGCACCTCAAAGAAAACATGCATGAGCAAAATGCATCTAGTAAAAGGCCAATTTTCAGTTATCATGTTTCCTTTCACATGAAAAATATCTCGACAATTCCATGAAGCAGATTATCCACTTGTAGGATCTAAATGGAATCTAACAAATATATAGAAAAGATATCAAGAACTACGCCTTTGACTTCCTTTCGAGCTTCGGAGGGCTTCTTCAGGAATAGCATGCTCATTTTTCTGTCAGTTCTGATCTTAAGTTGTTCTGAAAACTTTATCCCTTCCTCAATTCCCTTCTTATTTGCCAGAAGCTCGCATTCGTAGGGCTGATCCTCCAACTGTCCTTTTGCTCCTTTGGTTGATTATTCATCCTGCCAAGCAGTTGTCCATCCAATTCCTGCTATATCTAATCCATTCTTCATCTGCTTCCAGGCTCCATCTACTGTGACAATGATAACGCTCCCCCCTATGAGGATTCCGCCCACTCTTAAAACCTGCTGTATTTTTTATTGTTATTTTTTATATTAAGACTATGCTGCGCTTCTCCACTCGTAAACCTTTGTTGACTATTTCAATTGCCCAAAGAGTGTCAAATTTTATACTAAAGAGTAAAAAGATTGCTAAGGTATGAATTTCACAAACCCAACCATCTTTTAATTTATGTTTCGTTTTCTTCAATTTCTCGCCGGTCTTCGCTCAACATCATTACTACATATTTACTATTTGTACAAACAGACTACAACACATTAATCTATGTCAACTAAGTCATTTACAGGTACAGCATGATCAAAGAGAACTATATGAGCACAAATTTATACTCTGTACTATGTTTTGGCTAAGATTAGGTTCAAATCAAGATTGAATTATAGTACTGTACAATGTTTCAAAGAATCCACATAAAACTTGCTATAGGGAACCAACAAGAACAGGAAAGTGAAGGTATCTGAACTAGATAAATCATAAGTGTGTATAAAGATGCAACAATCTAAAGTTCTAAACCAAACTCTCCATCATTGTCCTAAGGAAGTTATCCTCTTTAACAGCTTATAATGACACTTAGATCTTCAAAGCTCGAGATCAGGAAGTTGAGAAAAAATAAACCAGGTTCTGCACTTGACTGCTGCTCATTGACAAATCCCACCTATGGTAATAAAGGGAAGAGAGAGCGACAGAGAGAGAAAGGGAGGTACAGGAGTGATGAGTCCCAAGGAGCTAAAGGTAGTCAGCCAGATATGCTTGATCTAGTAGAATCAATAAATCATCATTTTTGGAGCTCTTACAGGACAAGCACGATGAATTAGTTCACAGCCTGGTGGTCAATTTTGCACTTGGGTAAGCATGACACTACTCAATAAGTGACGCAAATGCTTCTTACTATACCCCTGAAATGCAGTAAAAAAAATTATCTCATCACAAGCACTAATATTATGCATATGATATAATGATGCATTTAAATCCTTAGACATGGGGTCTGAATAAGAAAATATAAGTGAAAAGGTTACACCATTACATTAGAATGTCAACATACTTTCATGTTTGGATAACAATTTAGAAGGCAAAGGAAGGGGAAGGAAATAGGAAAAAGGGAAGGGGAAAGTGGAGCTTCATTTTCCCTCCAAACCTCCAATTTAGAAGGACAGTGTCAATAAAAGGGAGGAAAAATGAATCCCACCTTTTACCTTCCCTTCCTTCCATCAATCCATTATCCAAACAAAGTGATTTGTCCCCCTCCCTTTGTCTTCCCTTCCTTTCTCTTCATTTCCTCCCATCCAAACAATAAGTTAAAGCCAAAGATCTCTATAGCTAAATGCTCTTTTTAAGATTTGGATGTAGTGGAAGCACAATATTAAATTCATACTGGAATATGCCAAAATCAACTTTCATGATGGGGAAATGTGCGGAAGGAAAGCTGTTACACAATCCACAATCCTATCACCAAGTTACGCTCATAGGGTTCGGGTTCATTTCTAAGTTACAACCTGATATGGCTGCAGGAGTGCAGGATATTACACAACAGCACATTGTAGTAAGCCAGAGCTCAATTAACTACCAAAGTTTAACGATCTATATCATTAAGATACACTAAAATATTGGCATGATGAAAACCATGGGCAACTCGTGAATCAATACTCTAGTAAGCTGTAACCTAAGTTTATACTCACAAATGAAAGATTACTACACATTTTTCCAGCTGTCCCTCTTCTCTAAGTATTTTCCAAATTCCTCATTAGTCTCATTCATGTGAAAAGATAGGCCTTGGATTTTCAAGAATTAAACACTGGATAAAAAATCAAAGATACCAACTTTACAACCATAAATATACATGAAAAGATCTGATTTTAAAAGCATATAATGACCTATTCAGCATCTCACTAATGTAGAATAAAAGAGCATGGAACAACAGGATTATCGCTTATCATAATTATTGCTTATCATAATTACGGAGTAACATAAACACTTTAGGTTGCATTTTAATTTATCCCCTCAACTAAATGTTCTCACTTCTCAGACCACTCTGATAGAAAAAAGCATAAATTTAAGAACCTGGATGCATAATGTTAATCTCTTTGGAGACATCTGGTAAGTGGTAATTATTTCAGGTTACAGTCTACGGATCATACAAGCAACTAATTAAAGCCTGAGGCCTGATTAGTAAACCAAGCATACGACAAGATTTAACAAGGATAAAAAAAGGTGGATGATAGAAATCTTACCACTCTTCCCATGAAATATGCCTCTTTGAGCTGAAGTCACATCTCTGCCATCAACAACCTTGATAACCTTATCACATCATTAAGCAATAAGCACCACAAAATTGTGCTACCCAATCATCTGACATATCAAGCACCTCTTAAAGACACTTCTAACTGCTCTATCCTTTCTGCCAGGTCATGCTTCCCAATATTCTTCAATCCATCAGTGACCATATCAAAGTTTTTCGACAAAGGCGGTAAGCCTATCTCAGTCATCTCAACCAAGT